TAAAATTTAAAGTTGTTAGTGAATAAATAGAAGGCATCTATTAAATAGTTCAAGATCTTTCCATTCTCTCACACTGACACGTTTCCCTTTGCTTCTAAAGGTACTACATTCAGATCAGCACCCTTCTGTTATCACTTAGAATGGTCAATTTACAACACAACTGATTAGGTTACAGCTTTCTTTAATTACATCCAAGTCTAAGTTCATGTAGATAAATTTGGAAGCTCCTCAAAGACTCTAGCAACAGGCCGAGTTCTCACAAAGCTCAAGCAGAACACTCTGTAGATTGCAGTGCTTTTTCAGCTCAGCTTTGTATGCAGACTGTTCTGTGGTGATTCTGAGATCTCTTGAAAAGCAGTACCTCCCCCGTATTTGTTCTTCCATGAGCAAGAATGAAAAAGGAAAAAAGAGAACCCCCAACAGGGTTCCAAAGTCACTATCCAACTTCAGCTCTTGCAAGCCTTGGTCATGGACAAGACTAGGTCCCTTAGATTTAGGGAGATCTCGGGCTGTGAACCTGGAACTGTACCCCATGGACCAAGCCTCACAGAGTATTACGTTTTAGTGCTGTGCCATCATCACCTGGCCCTGGGGATGATTATTGGCCTTAGTTTCATCCCAAGTAAAATTTCCACAAGATTATGCAACTATTACCCGATATTTTTCTTAGTATACTATGTTTTTATTTTTTAATGTGTATTTTTATATTTGAATCATATCTAGCTTTTATTTTGACATAAGTTGTTTATATATACCATTTCCTGGAAATACACAATTGTACTAACAACATTTTTTGCCTGCTTCATTTTTTTTCTCTTGTGATTTTAAATGTCACCTTCATAAAACATAATATAAAATACAAATACATGGTACACTAGTTTCTGGATTCTTCACTCTGTTCCACTGATCTATTTGAACACTAGTGAAATACTATTCCTGTAGTTTTGCATGTTTTGATACCGTTTAGGAAAAAAAAACCCACTTTTGTATTAGTTTCCTTATATAACAAATTACCAGACATTCAGTAGTTTAAATCATACCAATTTATTATCTTACAATTCTGGAGGTCAAGTCCAAAGTGGGTCTCAGTATGCTAAAATCAAAGCAGCAAGCAGACTGTTCCTTCTGGAAATTCTAAGGCAGAATCCTTGTCTTTCCTAGGTTCTAGAAGCTGTTCATTACTTGGCTCATGGCCTCTCCCTCATCTTCAAAGCCAGCAAACTCCAGCCAAGTCTGTATCATTCTGACCTTTTCTGCCACCTCTACTTTTAAGAACCCTGTGATTACAGCAGGCCTGCCAGGTAATTCAGGTTAATCTCCTTGTTTTAAGGTCAGTTGATTTACAATCTTAATTCCACCTGTGCCCTACATTCTCCTTTGACACATAACCCTTTATTGCACCATTTCCACAAATTACATGGGTATCTTTGGACAGCCATCTTTATGTTTGTCATACTAAGTATGCTTCCTCTTCAAAAATTTCTTGAGTTCTCACATGAATTTAGAATGCATTTGTGGAGATAACTACAGTCAGATATATTTCTATGTACCTGCTTAAAACCTAATCAGACTTTTATTCATTATGTATTAAAGTCATAATGTGAAGTTGAATGTTTTATACATCCCAATAATCAGGAAAAAACCCAAGCCATATATATATGTATATGTGTATATATATATATATATATACACATATACATATATATACACACGCACTTTTTTTTTAAAGAGAGATTTTCGCTATAGGGCATGAGTGCTTGCCAGAGAGACAGAAAGTGAGAAATCATCCCCCCCAGGGGGCATGGCCATACTGCAATCCCTTTTCTATTCTCCTCTCAGGATTTTGGGCATACTTGCACATGTGCCCAGCCTGAGTTTTAAGCCACCAGGTCCAGACTTGAACCTCAGTCGACTACAAGGGAGTCCAGTGATGTAACCATTATGCACCTGCTGGTCCCAAAACCAAGCCATATTTCTATTTACTACACTAGAGGAAAGACTAACCCTTTTCTCTCTATATATAGAAAATATGATAAAATTATATCTATAATAAAATGAGAAGTATACTCTATTATAGATATGATAGTTATATAATAAAACGTTATTTTTCTGGATATTTTTATGTTTGTGGTGTTAAGTAAGGATTATGAGAAGCTATCATTTTGGACTGTGCTCCTGCACACACCCAACATATCAGACCAAACCAGAATGGAATCAGTCAGTTGTTTCTGGATTCTTCACTCTGTTCCACTGATCCATTTGAACACTAGTAAAAGACTATTCCTGTAGTTTTGCATGTTTTGATACCTTCTAGAAAAAACCCTCTCTTGTATTAGTTTCCTAATATAACAAATCACCAGCCATTTAATGGTTTAAATCATACCAATGCTTTGTCTTACATATGCCATATAAGTTAAATTTTTGAAATGTGCTAGTTTAAAACAACAGCAACAGCTGGAGAATCACAGCAACCAAGCAGCGTAATAAGGAGGCCTGCATAAGCCAGCTTCCTTGTAAACTGTACCTAAACCAGCATAAGGAAGTTCCCGTTTTAACTCTACAAGAAAAGTTACTTTGAAATCAATAATTTGCTTTTTTTGTTTCTGTTTCTTCAGCTTTTTTCTGCCTATTAAGCTCCTTTGCTAAGCTCATAAGAGTTCCATTTAACCAGCCTCAGTTATATAACCATAAAGTATAAATAATTTGAAATAGAAAAAAAAAGTTCTCTATTTTATGGATAGGTGCTGCCTGATTGATCAATGGTAATAAAAGTGAATTAGAGTTTAAAACTCAATTGAAATTTAATCTTTTAACAGTAATTTGTCATCTTTTAGGATTTTCAGATTTCTGGAATTTTTTGCTCATTCTAAATATTCATGTTCACATCTCATTTTGTAGAACTGAGTTCCATGTCCCACAAACCTTGTTTTCAATCCATGAGTGGATGAAACCAAATTCCACCTGATTGCTCAAGCCTGAAACCTGAAAGACATTCTGCATTTCTTTCATCATGTTCATTAATCAGTACCAATTAACTTCACACCTGTTAGCTATCTCGGACAAAAGATCACCCCTTCACTTTTCTTTTATACTGGCTTTTAATTGCCTGTATAGTAACTAAATCCCTTATCCCTCCAACCCCAGATCATAAAGATTTGATCCTGGGGCCCTGTCTATTCTGTCTTCATCTCTGACACCTAGGCACTGAGTAAGCATGTTAAATCAGTATCTTCTTGTAAAAACTTGATGAACTCAAGTCCAGTTGCCCTTCATCACATCTTACTCTTCCCAAGAGATAACCAGTATTGTATCTTTCTAGATATTTTCTAGACATTTGCATTTAGAAATGTTTTTGTTTTCACAGAAATGGGATAGCAATTTATTATACAGCAACCTGGTTTTTTTCACCTGATGTCTTGGCAATCTATTACTATACACTGAGATCTTCTTAAATGCTGCATAACATTTCATCTATCACCCTGTATTCATGTAACCGTTCTACTGATGTTCATTAAGTAGATGTACTAATTCAAGGGGCCATCTGTCCATTTTTGGATATTGTTAAATTTCTTTCTGAACAGGTTATGCCTAAGGGATTCAACTTCTCTCCATATTCTGTCACCATCAAACTCTAAGCCACTGTTACCCTCTTTTTAAGGAGTATCCAAACTGTTTCCTCTACTCTTCACACTGCTTGGAAAAACTTAAAATATTGCCAGACAGTTCATACTCTGGCAATTCATATGTGAGAAAGAATCCCCAAATGGGGTGTGGTTACATGATCCATTTTTGTCTATTTCTCAATTTCATCAGAATTTTGGACATACACACATAAGTATCTGTCAGGTTTTTCAAGTCACAGGGGCTGAGAATTGAACTGCAGTTTGCCCTGTGAGATATGGCTTCCCATACACAGCATTTAATTGTGGTGGACAGACAGAGACATAGAGACAGAAAGCGAGAAATCAATCCCCCCGGGGGGATGGTCACGCCGCAATCCCCTCTCCTCCATTCTCCTCTCGGGATCTTGGGCACGCACGCACACGCGCCCGGCGTGAATTTTTTAAGCCACAGGGTCCGGGACACGAACCGCGGTCGACTACGTGGGAATCCAGCGACATAGCCATTACGCTAACTGCTGGTTCCCTGGAACAGCTGTTTTTAAAAAATCTTTCCTCTCCCAAAACCCTTAGTAGCAGAGCTGATAGGTGGTGTGGTGGGTAAGGCACTGACTCTCACATGGCTGACCACTGTTCAAGTTCTAGATCTGGCAGCTTGCTTTCTCACTTTTCCTGTCTCTTTGGTGAGTGCATGTGCTCTATAGCAAATTTTAAAAATAACAAAAAATTATTAACACACACACACACACACCCCTCAGTAGAGCTCCTGTTCCTTTTGGAGAAAGTTCAAAATCCTTCACATGCCTTGCAAGACTCCACTAGTCTTTCCTGACTTGATCTTTATTATCCTTGTTCCTTTTTTTGGCCCAATTCAAAAACAGTCTTCAAGTTGGAGCATGGGTATCCCTCAGAATATGGGAAAGTGTGATCATAAACAGTTTTAAGAGGTTGATTTTCAGATGCTGAACTTTTCTAAAGCTCATGTGCCTAAGACTCCTGGAGTCCAAATGTACCTGTACTTCACAATGGCTCCTTCCACTCAGCCTACTCAAAATCTTACTATGATGTACTTCATCTGAGGTAGAAAGGTACCAATGAATAATCTGGCAAGTTCTTTCAATAAGGCAACATTAAGAGATGCATTTCCCAGTAGGCGATATGATGAAGGCACTGGACTACTACCTGGCAGACTGTAGTTCAAGCCCTGGACCCAGTGGCTTGGAAATCATGCCGGGAATGTATGCATGTGTGCCCCAAATCCTGAGAGAATGGAGAAGAAACTGTGGTGTGAACATCCCCTGAGGGGTGGTTTCCCACTTTTCCTGTCTCCAGCAAACAAATATACCCTATGGCAAAAACCTTAAAATAAAAAAAGATGCATTTTTGTATAGAAGTAAGGTTTATTGATGAGCGTGATTAAGGAAGGGGCAGCACACTGCGAGCCCTCATGAGTGCAAGGCTCGCCACTTGTCTAGGGGACCACGATTGGGGATGTATTTGACACCACAGCCATCAGGAATGAGGCGCTTCTTAGCCACCATATCTTCAAATTCATCAGCATTAAACTTGGTAAAGCCCCACTTCTTAGAGATGTGGATCTTCTGGCGGCCAGGGAACTTGAACTTGGCCCTGCGTAGGGCCTCAATCACATGCTCCTTGTTCTGCAGCTTGGTACGGATGGACATAATAACCTGGCCAATGTGGACCCTGGCCACTGTGCCCTGGGGTTTTCCAAAGGCACCCCTCATACCTGTCTGGAGTCTGTCAGCCCCAGCACAGGACAACATTTTGTTGATGCGGATGACATGGAAAGGGTGGAGCCGCACTCGGATATGAAAGCCATCTTTGCCACAACTTTTCACCATGTACTTGTTTGCACAAATACGGGCAGCCTCCAGGGCCTCCGACGAGAGCTGCTCATACTCATCTGACACCATGTGGCCACAGAGTGGGAATTCATCCACTTTTGCCTTCTTACGCCCCAGGTCAAAGATGCGGATCTTGGCATCTGGGACACCTCGGCAGAAGCGTGACTTTGGGTACGGCTTGTTCTTACAATACCGATAACACCGGGCAGGGCGGCGGCCCATGGTGACACCAGAATCTTCGGTGGCTGCAACAGAAGAGGCAGTGTTGGAAGAGAAAATGAGAACTGGCTTCAAACTATTGGAGAGAAAAAGTTGAGATATATATATTTCCAATAAAATATTTTTACTTTCCATGATTATCAGATTTTGTGACATATTTTGATTAAATTGTAGATTCCTAACAATAGTAATAGCTTAATCCAGAAAGCTCATTCTTTGGGGTCCAGCAGATGGCAAAATGGTTATGTCACTTGACTCCCATGTGGCTGACTGCTGTTTGTGTCCTGGATCTGGAGGCTAGAAACTCACTGGTACATGTGCATGCATACCCAAAATCCCAAGAAGAGAACAGAGAAGGAACTGCAGTGTGACCATCCCCTGAGAGGGTGATGTCTTGCTTCTGTCTCTCTCTTGTCTCTCTCTTGAGTGCACGTGCCCTATAGGAAAATCTCTCTAAAAAAAAAAAAAAAAATCCTTACTCTTTCAAGTATAAAAGTGTTTTCCAGGGATCAGCAATTAGCGCAATGGCTATGTTGCTGAACTACCATGTAGCCGATCACGGTTCAAGTCCCAGACCTGGTGGCTTAAACTCACGCCAGGCACGTGTGCATGTGTGCCCAAGATCCCGAGAGGATGGAGAAGGGATTGCGGTGTACCCATCCCCACTGGGGAGTGATTTCTCACTTTCTCTGTCTCTGTCTGTCTTTCTGGCGAGCACATGTGCCCTATAGCTAAAACCTCCCCCCCACACCAAAAAAATAAATCACCCCCCCCAGGGGGTGGGTGGGAGATTTCTTCAAAAAAAAAAAAGAAGTGTTTTCTATTAAGGTAGAATTTTCTGTTAGAGGCTAAATAAAAATAGGTTTTAAAGGAGAAAGATGATCAATGTTAATTTTCTAACAAGGCAAAGGCTGAAATATTTATAAAATACATGGTGGTAGTTATTAAGTCACTATAGTATTTATAATCTACTGGGTCCATTTAAAAAAGTTTTATAACACTTTATTTTCAAAATGTCATAACTCATCAGAACTCACTTCTTTTTGAACTAATTTGTTAAATTTAAATATCGACTTAAACTTAAGCGAGGGAAATAGATAGCATTCTTTCAATGGGCCTCTGGGGAAGGAAATGTCTAAGCCCAGCCTAGGTGGCATACTCAGTGGCAAACTGAACTGCAGTGTGGAAACCACTCAGTCTACTGTGGGTACAGATCCCACAGTCAGCTTGAAAATACAGGCAATGCATGCTTGTGTGCCCAAGATCCTGATGAGCTGTAGGGCCTGGGAAAAAGGATCACGACATGACAAGATTCTGTTGAGGGTAATTTTCTCTTTCTTCTCATACATGCAAATATACCCTACATCATGAACAGAGTAAATTAACTCAAAAAAATAAATAAATAAATAAAAGCATGGCCCATTCCAGGGCTGCACACCGGCACATAGCTCTCTCCCAGCTTTAGTCCCAGGAAGGCTTTTCCTCTTCATCTCTACCTCAAGCTAAGTCCACCCTTGAGATTCATCTTAAAGGACCTGAGAAGACTTGCCACCAAACTAAATCAGATCTCCTTGATACACAGTCCTACAGTACCATGAATCCTTCCTTTTCATTCCACCTGTAACTCCTTGATAAACACCAGGAAGGTATAAATAAATTCAGTCTTTTCAGTTATAAAGTTTGACTATCCATAATAAGAAAATTCAAAATCTGAAATGCTCCCCAAATCCAGCACTTTTTTGAATGCTGCCACAAGTAGCACAGTCAGAACACTGCAATATGAAAGTACTGTATAAAATAAACTTTAGGCTATGTAAGATGTAAATGAGCTACAAATGGATTTCATGTTTAGACTTGGGCCCAATTCCCGAGATATCTCACTATGTAGATGCAAATATTCCAAAATACAAAACACTTCTGGTCTCATGTATTTTGGGTAACAGAAACTCAAATTATACCCTGGTGTCCAGCACAGCATATACTCAAATTATACCCCAGTGCCAGAACAGCATATATACAAAAGGAGTTCAGCTGTGTTCTTTAAGAAGCAATTTCAGGGGCCATCAGGTGCTGTGGTGGTTAAAGATGCTGGACTACCATGTGGCAGACCACGGTTCAAGTCCTAGACCTGGTGGCTTGCTTTCTCACTTTTCTTCTCTCTCTCTCTGGTCAAATCTAGATACATACATACATACATAAAGTTAAATAAAATAATTTTTTTAAAAAAAGCAATTTCAGGAGTGGTTAAAAAGGAAATCAGAATGCAAAAATTAAAATCTGATTAACAAAAGTGAAAGGTAAGGAAGCAGAGGCAGAGGGAATGGGTTATCAATTAAGAGGTTTGGATGGAAAAGGGAGAGAACCAGAAAAATCCATGTGGCAGAAAGGGAGGATGACTCTGGAAATGTTCATTGGAAGAGAGGAGAAGAAGAGTGCACAGGATAACTGAAAAAAGTCAGGGGATGGGATTGGAGATAAACAGGACAAGAGAAACAAGTTCTTGATGTCTCCAGCCCAAAACACTGCCCAAAAATTTACAACTTGGTGACTAACAGTAACCTAAGGTAATTCACGGACTGTGTCATGTTTACACATACAAGATCCTAACACGAACGTGGAACCGGCTTTCTCTAGACATTTTCCTAACAAATATCTGATCTCAATCTATTAAAAGACGCATACGCGTGACATTAGTGGTGCACACTGTCCACACATTTTGACTTGTATCCTCTAAAACTAAACCTAGTTCTTGAAAATTTTTCTACAGTATAATGTTTTTTTTCCCTACTCAAATAGTTATTTGAGAGATCTTTATTCAGCCAGCTTTGTCCCCAACAGTCACCATCTACCAGTCTTGTTACCTGATATTAATTATCCGTAAAAAAACCAGCCACTATTCTGGCCCTGATTCTAACTTTCCATTGAAATGCCTTCCTGCATAAAGCTATCCCACAGGCTTCCATTAAGGGGGAAACTTTTTTTTCACTTAAAGCATCTGGCATTCTTGTAAACTGCAAAATATTCTTGGGAAAAATAACATATTAAGCCTTTTTTTTTTTTTTTTTTACTGTAGCCAAAGGAAAGAAGAAGACCAAGAAGCCTGTGAATCTGCTTTTAAGTCAATGAAATAGCTATCCTGCCTTCCTAGCTTTTTAAAGTCACAGAAGTATGTACTGTGTGGATCCCACATTTACCCGCAAGCAATTTGAGTACTACACAATAAACAAGGCTCATTAAAAAAAAATAATAATCAGTAACAAGTCAAACAGCAAGGCCATGTTGAAATGAAGCAAGAGTGAAGTTTGAAAAGGTGTAATAAAGTAAGCAGTGTGGAAATACCCTCGTGAAAAGGCTTTTCTGATCACACAAACATGTAGTTATCGTCACTGGAAGATGGAAGACCGGGCCTGGTCATGGAACACCCCGGTGGAGAGGGCCAAGAAGGCGCGGTTACAACGCACCACGTGAGCGGGAGGCTGCGGAAGTGGAAATTTGCTAAGGCCTCGCCGACCTCTGATAGCGCTTAGCACCTACTATAACTACTCTATTGTGCCTTGGTGGGCTTCCACAGTAGGCGTGATGAAGACTTGTTGAAGCACGAATCCTAACTGGGGCAGCAACAGAAACATCTGAGAACTACGGCGTTATCTGTGTACCAGAAACACCCAGGCGTCTCGGTTGGAGGGCTCATCCCAGAATCCAGGGGTCCTGCAGGCTGTGCCAGCAGGAGGTACGCGAAGGATCCTCAAACTAACTGATGCTCACGTCCGACCCAGGGGACTGACGGCCACCGGCCCCCTCACCTCAAGCAGGCACCCACCTTTGACCGCCTAAGAGAGTCGACACTTTCCTCCCAGCAGCTGCAGCCTGGCCCGGCTGAAGAGCATGCGCAGTGCATAAAGTCCGGCTGCCCGCGCACCCGTCGTCAGTTGCACATTAACGGTTAGGAGGACTGGTCCAATCAGAGGATGTATTATTACCGCGGAGCCCCGCCCCCAGCGCGGGGAACTATGGTGACAGGCGACCAATCAGAAGACGTGTTATTGACGTGAAGCCCCACCCCCGGCAGGGGAATATGGTGACGGACAAGGGTCATGGAGTGTAATCGCTCCTGAGTTACCAAGCCCGGGACCGCTGTGGCGTCCCCTTGCTCCACGACCGCGACCTCGCCCCGCACTAGCCCGATTGGCCGCCGGCCGACCGCGGCCGAGGGCCCGGGGCGGCCGCTCGGGGATAGCAGGCGGAGCCCTCGGCCGCCGAGCCGGGAAGATGCTGCTGTCCCTGGTGCTCCACACGTACTCGATGCGGTACCTGCTGCCGGGCGTTGTGCTCCTGGGCACCGCGCCCACCTATGTGCTGGCGTGGGGGGTCTGGAGGCTGCTCTCCGCTTTCCTGCCCGCTCGCGGCCGAGGGCCCGGGGCGGCCGCTCGGGGATAGCAGGCGGAGCCCTCGGCCGCCGAGCCGGGAAGATGCTGCTGTCCCTGGTGCTCCACACGTACTCGATGCGGTACCTGCTGCCGGGCGTTGTGCTCCTGGGCACCGCGCCCACCTATGTGCTGGCGTGGGGGGTCTGGAGGCTGCTCTCCGCTTTCCTGCCCGCTCGCTTCTACCAGGCATTGGACGACCGGCTCTATTGCATCTACCAGAACATGGTGCTCTTCTTCTTTGAGAACTACACTGGGGTGCAGGTGAGGCACTTTCCGCTCTCGTTGCCTCTCCCTCCACCTGAGCCTCTCTTGGGAACGTGGGGAGATCTCCCAGTTTGAATCTTTCACCTTCCTATCTCCTGGGTGGTTTGGGATCATTCCGGCCTGCCTGGCGTATTCAGCCCCGAGAGCACGTGCTGTCACCCATCCTCCCACCGTGGGTAAAGTTTTACTGTCTGGAGTTAAGGTTGGAACCGCCGCGTCCTTGCAGGTCCACCGACATCTTTGGGAAACTGTAATAACATTATTCTGATGCTACAAGTAGGATGATCAGCCCCGCCCCCCGCCCGGTATGGTGTTACTGTCTGTCTTGGTGCTTAGGGAAGTAGATACGGATGAACATTTTAAGTAGGGCAAACATTTGACAGTTTTTGGCATTTGGTCGAAGAAAGTGGCCAAGAACGTGTTGGAATAGGATACAGTTGCACTCAGAAAGTGCACTAAAATAAGTAAATAAATAAATAACCCAAACCTTCTATTGAAATAAATTGGCTGGCTAGTGTTACTTTTTGGGCAAGAAGTACAACTCTGTTTTGCGTTCTTCCGCAGTACAAGTGACATCTAGGCGAGGAAATTAATACATTTGTTACACTAGAAGCCTTACTCTGGATGCAGTTCTTGCCAGCTTTCACCAGGCTTAAATGTGTGACTGATCTTTTGTCTGATTACTTTCTTTCTGTTACTGTTTCTTTCTCTGTAGAGATCGGGTTTGTAGATAAACTTGAAAATTTAATTAGAAATGGGCCTTCTTAACATTTAGTTATTTCAAGTAATAAAAAAATGAAATCTTCCTTTCATTTCTCACTTTGGGAAAAAAAGCTTAATTCTTGGTTATTCGCTTAGTTTTTATTTTCTATTGGATTCAGTTCAGTTTATTTCCCCCTTGGTGGAATTGGGATGGGGTAGGCGAGATTGGGGTGGTATGATTTTGTCTTTCTGCCTTTCTGTCTTTCCATCTATAGCACTTGTTTTTGTCCAGTGTTCTGCTGGCTCCTCTATGAATAGAGTTTGCACTTGCCACTGCTGGTTGATTGATAGCTGACTCTTTTTTTTTTTGGAGAGGTTTTCACTATAGGCGCGTGCGCTCGCCAGACAGACAGAGAGAGACATAGAGACAGAAAGCGAGAAATCACCCCCCAGGGGGGATGGCCACGCCAGTCCCTTCTCCTCCATTCTCCTCGGGATCTTGGGCACGCACACACACGCGCCCGGCGTTAGTTTTAAGCCACCGGGTCCAGGACATGAACCGCGGTCGAGGAGTCCAGCGACATAGCTAGCTAACTGCTAGTTCCCCGATAGCTGACTCTTGATTGAGTTTGTTATCACTGCATGTATTTAGGGGGAAGGGAACTAAGAAAGGTTGGGGGACCTCTTTTTAAACCAGTATTGTCAGGTGTTCCTAGGACAGCAAAAAAGAATTGCTATTCCAGGTCATGGTTTCCTGGTAATTGACTTTTATTTGTTTATTTATTTATTTATTTTTAAAAATTTATATTATGGTAATTGACCTTTAAACAGACCTCATTTAAAATTTTCACTAGTTTAGGTTGATCAGTTTCCCCCTGTGCTCTTACTTCACCAGATTTGTATAAATATTTAGATGTATCATGAGTAAATATTTAATTTCACATTGTATGACAACTGACCTATTGCTAGGATAGGAACGAACTCAGAACACCATCAGTTACCTCCTAGAAAATTAATTCTGTTTGTGATAGATTATGTTATTTTCATTCAAAGAATATACAGAATTGTATTCAACTATATACTACAGAATATATTATTAAAGTACTTTTGTGTTTCATAATTTATTTTTAAAAATGACTGTAGAACTTCACAATGTTTCTGTAATTATATCCTTTATATACCACTGATTATAGATCTCCACTTTACTTCTTGAGTTCCCACCAGGTAGTTTTTCAAAACATTAAATCTAGTGATTTTTTTCCTTGTTGATCCTGCTAAAGGATTCAGAGTTTAGTAATAATGTTCATGCATTTATGAGGACATCTGATGGCCCTTTGGTATCATTTATAATTTTATTTAGTAAGTGTACCTTGAAGTTTGTTAGGAATCCTGGAGCTAGGTGCCCACTGATCATCAAATACAGGTTATGAACATTTAATAAAAATGTACTTGTTTTCTGCAGATTTTTTGGATGAGTTAGAAAGAGGTTGTTTGTTTTAGTTTTTCTGGAATCTGAGTTTCCTGTGTAAATAAGCCTCCTTCTCAATATTTTTGATAGTTTCCTTTAAGATTAGGTCAATAGGGAAATCAATATGTAGCTATCGTTAAATATAAAACTCAAAAAAAAGATTTGTATGGGCATTCTGTCACCTAATTTTTACTTTTTGCCTTCTTTTTTTCTTTTTTTTTTTTTTTTTTGAGAGATTTTCGCTATAGGGCGCGTGCGCTCACCAGACAGACAGAGACATTAGAGACAGAAAGCTTGAAATCACCTCTCAGGGGGGATGGTCACGCCGCAATCCCTTCTCCATTCTCCTCTGGGATCTTGGGCACGCACGCACACGCACCCGGCGTGAGTTTTAAGCCACCAGGTCTGGGTCACGAACTGTGGTGGACTACGTAGGAGTCCAGCGACATAGCCATTATGCTAACTGCTGGTTCCCTTGCCTTATTTTTCATCATTGACTTTGTTGTTGAGATGTTTTCCTTGATATTTTAACTTGTTTTTCTTGTTTTGCAGGAGAAAATTTTTTTTACTTGAATTGTTATTCAGCTTTCATTTGCAAAGCTAATGATGGTTCTCTTGTTTGCTTTGTATAAAATATAGTTGACTCATTTCTGAAAAAAGATTTAGTATGGAAGAGGATGTTTTTAAATACAAAGAAGTTTATCATTCAATTATACACAGAGGAAGAATTTTTAAATTACAATTTTTCTTAAATGGCATTGTCGTGCTCCCCCTTTTTAAAAGTTTATTTCTTCCATGAGTGTGTGAGAGAGAAACAACACTCCCAACAGTGTCCTGAAGTTGCAACCTAATCCGAACCTCAGCCAGCCCCAGATCATGGGTACGTGGATGCCCAACATACTGGGGGAGGTCTCTGACTTGAACCTGAACCTTCTTCTATGGGTCTGCTTCACAGTGCTTTGTGCTTTACCACTGGACCTTTAGACCCCTTTCATGTGTGTACTTGTGTGTGCCTATTAACTATAGGTCTAAAAAAGAATGGTTCTGTAGCTAGCATGTGGTGTGGTGGTTAAGGTGTTGGACTCCCACATGGCCGACCATGCTTCAAGTCCAGGTCCTGGCATCTTGTTTTCTCACTTTCCCTCTCTCTCTCTCTCTGTTTCTCTGTGGTCAGATGAAACAAAAAATAGTAATGGTAAATAAAATTACAGCAATTTTTTAAAAAAAGAAATGGTTCTTACTGGTTGCTGCATAATATTTTATTTTACATAGAATTTTAGGCTGAAGAGAAATATGAGGAGTCTTCAAAAAGTTTGTTGAAAAGTGGAATTGAAGTATGAGTCTATTTTGGTACAAAAAAATGAAATCTGTATAGTTTTTTTTAATCATACATGTTTTCCATGAACTTTTTGAAAACCTCACCCTCTATATTAGATACATGAAGTTTCTGATCTGTGCTTGGCAGATAAACATGCTTTCAACAAATTCCATTGGATTCTATGTAAACATCTGTTCTTCCCTGTTTTCACTATTGTATTTTCATTCTGAAGAAAAAAATTAAACTAGTGTTGCTTTTTAAAAAATTTCACTACAGGGCACTTGTGCTCACTTGGTGGGGGAGAAAGTACACCTCCCCTCACCCCCCGGGGGGTGACCTTTTCCATTTTCCTCTTGGGATTTTGGCCATGTGTGCACACATTGTCTATGTTTTTCAAGCTACAGGGTCTGAGACTCTAACTGTGCAGTTGGCCATGTGGGATCCAGCTGCCTTAACCATGGTACCTCCAAACCATGTGCCAAATACATGCTTATTTCTTTATAAATCACTTAGTCTCAGGTATTTCTGTTAGCAGTGCAATAACTAAGACACATATTTTTCTATTTTCAATCATAGATGTAACCAAATAGTCAAACACTGACAAAATATTTTGAGAAAGTTTAAAAAGCCCCCCCCCCACTGCTACCTTCCACATACCTTTCTTACCCAAGTTTGAAACAGTTTGATATGTAACTTTAAATTTCTTCCCAAAGCTTCTAATAAATGAATTGTTGGAAGACTTTTCAATTAAATTAACCTCCTGGGTGGATTTGATAGTAGTATGAAATATACTTACAAGCTTGTGGGACCCCTCCTTGCCGTTATTGTAGGGTGCAAAGGAAAACATGACTCTCTCTCTCTCTCTCCCCATATATATGTATATAAAGATTGTTTTCTTTCTTTTGTAAATTTGTCTAATTTTATGAAGCTGAGCAAACAGAGCTGATGCTTCTTAAATGGAATTAGAAGTTAATTTTTCCTTTCATATTTTGTCATTTAATTATGGTTTCTCACCAAAGTAGATATTAATAGTTAGACAGTCTATTGTCTGTTGATGATAATGTGTATGAAATCTTCAAATGGACTGGTGTGAAGAGTATTCATGTTGGTAATTCATTTTACAAGCTGTAGTGATGTACAGTGATAGAATGTATAAAATAATTTTAAAAAAAAGAGAAAAACAATTCAGTTCTAATAATGAGTTTTCAGTGAAGGATCTCTAGAACCTAGTATTCATTCATTTATTCATCTATCCATCAAATACTAGCAAGTGCATATTGTTTTGGATGCTGTGCTATTTACTATTTTGGTGATTTTTCTTTCCCCTTTGAAAGCTTGCTGAAAATTGCTGACTGTTGGCAGGTTAAAAAGAAAACACATATACACTTTAACATACACACACACACACACACACACACACACACATGGGAGCTGTACAAAATATGAATGCAAAGAGATGATTGAGTCATATATACAATTTTTATAGGAGAGAGAAATATGGGGAAATTA